CATCGGGTGCCCCTGACTCACAAATCGAATTGGCCGTTTCATAGCCCCCCCCCCCCCACCCCACACACACCTCGCTGTCTCTCTGTCTGTCTATTCTTTCCCACTCTCCTTCGATAGTTCAATGCTGCGATCATAGCCTCCCCTGCATTTTTTTGGCTGGGATAGTGCCAGTGTGTCTTCCCCTATCTGTGGCAGATGCTGACCTGCAGCACCTCCGTCACGTTCACGGCGGTTTAGGATGCTTTACATGTCCTTAGCTATGTCAGATGGGAGCTAGTAACCCTATCCTTCACATGAGATGGGTGATGGCAGTGGACCTGTCCCTTGTCCACGAAAGGTGAGGACGCGTGGCCTTCCCCGCCTGTGACGGGTAAGCACACGCGCTGTCCTCGCCTGTGGCGGGTGAGGTCCGTGCCTCCTCTGCAACGTGTGAGACCGGCAACCTCTCGCTGATTTTTTACAACCTCTGTGACCTGTCCCTCAGGTGTGACGGACGGGTACCGGATGACCTACACCGATAACACAGATGAGGACCCATAACCTGTCCCTCCGGCCCCACCCGCGGTCGGTCAGTGCCTGTGACCCCACCTTCCGCTGACCGGACCCGTTGGGACGGATGTAGGAGCAGGGACGTAGCTCGGGGCGTCGGTGGCTGGGGTGGGGGCGGGGGGGAGGGCTCGGGGTCGGGTCAGGGTGGGACGGGTCAGCGGAGCGTCACGCCGCGCCTCGGCGTGATCAGCCCCGCTCGGCGCGTGACGTCGCCCGCCACCACCACGGCTGCGTCACGCTCCCCGGCACAGGCGTCACCAGGCAGCTGACAGCCGGCGAGGTCATGGCGCCGCTAACGCCGCCGAAAATCATTAGTGTTTCTTACAAGGATTTTGCGTGAATTTCGCAACGAATCGCTTTTGAGCACTTTCGAACAGCCTGTCCAGAAGCCGGGAAAGAGTTGCTGCGCCCGGTTGTTTGCTAATGAGGAGGTCCAGTCCGCTAGGCAGATGAAGAGCTGGAGCCGCTGCTGGGCCGGGCGTCGGTGCGAGCGGCACGGATCTGCCGGGGAGGGCGCGGCCGGGGTCACCCGCCGGGCGGAGCGGGCCGCGCCGGAGGAGAGCAGGGAGGAGCCGGCGCCGACCTTCACCCGAGCGCCGTCCACGGCGGGGTGCTTTATGGCGGGGTCAGCTGGCCGCGACGCTCGTGATACGATCGCTTCGGGCTCCGACACGACCGGAGCCGGCCGGCCGGTCACGTGATCCGTCAGCCCGGGCCGGCCGCGGCCACGCGACAGCACCGGTGGTCATACATCACGCGCCGTTTGTCTTTGGCTGGGTGTCGGACCTGGAGGAAGTGGGACGCTGAAGCGGCCGGGTCAGCTCTGTATGGTGGCTATAGCGGCCAAGGATAGATATAGAGACAAAGCCAGTCAAGCGTGAAGTGAAGTCGACAGCAGACACGAGAGCCGCAGATGTGGCTGCAGCTCCAGTTCATTAATACTCGGAGACATCAGACCTGAACGCATGACACAAATCCCAGGCGAATAATCATGATTTTCACCGGGTAGGTGAGAGAGAGGTCAAGGGAAGACAAATTTTGCCAGAGCTTTTTTGAATCTGGGCGAATTTGCTCGATATCTAGCACAAGCTTCTTCGCTCCGGGGGATGATCGCGTGCCCCCCCCCCCCCAGCCACGTGTCGGACCAGACGTGTCTGTCTGAGATGCTTGTCTGACGTGTCGCGCTGGTACCGGACGGTGCTCGCATATGAAGGCTTATTTCTTTTGGTGGCAGGAGCTGCAACTTGCGATCAATTTGAGTTTCGAATGCTCCAACCGGTATAATGTGTAAAGAAGTTGGTTTGGAAAAGCCTCATCAGATGTCTGGTCTAGACCATATGAAGCGGCGTTAATTTTATCGCTTCGGTCAAAACAAATTCGATGGTGGACAAAAGCATACTTGTCGAATACATCCCTATATCGACACGTCCCTGAAGCCCCCATCCAAAAAAATTCAAGCTTATGATCGCAGGATCCCATAAGCATGGAGCCCTATGCGATCCTAGATCCACCGTTGAGACCTAGGCATATGTCTGTCTACGTAATCTGGAACCGTTATAACAAGTCGAGCCAAAATCTCAATTTGTCACCTCAGCCGTAGTTAGTAGATTCAATGAGGCTGTGTGCATATGGGGACCAGATGACGTCACCAATAGCAACCTGGCCGTCTACCGTGTCCTTTGGCCAGGCAACGTGGGGCCGACACGGAAACACTCCGGAGCTGGTGGTGCAGGCCACGGACCACTCCCCGAGGAAGCGGGAGCGGCCGGGGCCGGCACGGCAAGGTCGGGCCCGCCGGCTGACACGGTCACCTCTCGGCCCGGCCCGGGTCCCGGCCAGAAGGTCAGACAGAGCTCTGACGGCAGGGCGCCGCCACCCAGGCGCCAGCCGCGGCGCCAGCGGCACGGGTGGCCCGAGCGGACTGCGGCGTGGCGGCCACGGTCTGGTCACGAGCGGCCCAACAATGATGGTGTGACAGACAAACCCCGCGGCGGCAATGCACCAACGTACTTAATAAAACAAGAGTGACATGGTAGTAATGCCATCTACACGCGTGGAAAGTTTATATTTGTGCGTCTTTGCCAGCGATTTAGGCAAGTTTCAGGGGTGCGGTTTTCTATTCAATTTGGGGAGGGGGCTTCAGCTCCGGCAACTGGAAAGAAAGCTAGTGAAGCCCATGAAGAAATCCGTGTGCTGGCATATTTTGAAGGTAGGTTGCGTTATTTCACTTTGTTCTGTCCCCAATTCATTTTCGGAGTATGCCCCTGGCCGGCCTGTGTAAACCGATCAGAAAGCACGGTCTAAGCGACCGATGCACTAAAATATGCCCTGACAGTTGTGTGCAGCGATTTTGATTATTTGTGAGGAGGGATGTGCTTACACGGCAGGCGACACTGGAAAAGACATAGCAAAAATAAAGCCATCTTGTAACAGACGGCATCACCGTTTTCGCAGCACAACGGATATTTTTAATTTGGAAAATTTAGATACGAATTTTGAAGCACAGTCTGTTGATGTGGAAGCACAACGCTGCCAAGAATGGCAGCCAAACCTGCGCAGCTCCGACGTGTACCGTGATGTAAGGCTCGCAAAGCATAGTGGCATGCACCGGCAGTGGGTGCCTTGCATCGCTTAGGGCCGTGGTGCCGCATTGAGTGGAGCGTGAGTTCACACCCGGGGAGCGCTTGGCATTATTTACGCGACAACAAGGGACAGGCTCCTGACTCCTTGGTGTTCCTTCTAGGTCTGATCAGTTGGTGCTTTGGAAATAAGTGGATTTGAAAGCGGCGAATGATGTCTTGATCGCAATGAGGTTTGGGAAGGGTTGTTTCTGAAGAATGGGGTAAATGTGAATTCCTGGGCTTGACTTTGACACAAACCCAGTCTGGTCTGACAAAATCCATTCATTGCACAGTATGCTTACTCATGTGGTTTTGGTATGCTGATATAGAGCGTGATTGCACTGAAAATCAGGTCAGGTTAACTCACTGAACTTACGATTTTTTCCTCAAAGGAATGTTAGGAGATGTTTCGGTTTCATATTACCATCACAAATTCATAATTACTTGAAACACTGTCTATACTTACTTCAAAATTATTTGCTTCTGTACATCAAGCTCAAGAGCTCTCACATTTATGGGATGCATTTGCTGAAAATTGTTGCGGGAAGATTGGTGTGTTCCCATACATGTCCTTTAATGTGCATTTCTTTCTGCAGTCTGGACAAGGTTTGCTTAACAGGAATTGTATTTTTCATTCAGTTTTGGTGGCTCAAGCCCCCCCCCCCCAACTTCCCCAACATTGAAAAGGAAGTGGGTCAAGTTAGGCAGAAACCAGCTTGTCAGTATATTTTGATAGTAGTTTGCACCATTTTTTTTTTACTGCACTGCACATGCCCCTTCCCCATAGCTCATTTTTGTCTGTCCCTATAGTGCAGGTGGTTAGAATGTCTATTCCAACACCACCACACACCACACACCACACATCATCCACACACCATGGACATTAATCCACACACTCATGCAAGGTGGATTTGATGTCATGTCCTTGCCCTTGATTGGTGGATGTTTCTGGTGCTGTGTGGCAAAGGCCATGCCTTAATGCACAATGTGACAATCAGGGGGCTAGTAACGACTGGTGAGATCATTACATGAATGCTCAAACTTTGGGTCAACAATAATTCCACTGTCACCCTGGATTTTTGAGATTGTATGGGGTATTAGGTCTGGGCATACATGAAAAAGCACTGCTTTTGTGTATGCTCTTGATCCCTTGTCTCTGATTTTCTGGAGAGGTTGAAGCCAACAGTGGTAAAAATTGTTCATGCAGGTCAGGTTGATGTGTAAATGTGTTCTGTTGTTTTACCAGCATGTATGCTGCTGCTCTGGGGGATGTACTGTCTCCAGCAGGATAACATGACAACTATGTCAAGTATTGTGTGCAGCTGGCTGCTGCATTGTGATGAAAGTTGTGTTGAATGTTGATGAAGTGAAAAACTTTCTTTATGTATGCTACATCAGTTTACAAACTTTTACAGACACATTTTGGTCCTGTCATAGTTTGCAAGTTTGCAAAAAAACTTTCATGATGACATTTTACTGGACATGCTTTACCCATATGAACATTTTACATTGCAAACTTTTGATGTCATGAACTTTGCACCCTATGTCCTTAATCCGATGAACTGTGGACATACATGCTTATTGTATGCACACTTTTGTTTGCAATCCCTCACACCGCCCCCACATCACAGCCGCCATTGCATGTGTCGCCGGGCACCAGCGGCGGCCGACGTCCCTGTCCGTCCGCGGCTGACCACCGCCGGACCGCCCTGTCGGCAGAGCCCAACTTGGCACGGCATGGCGCTGCACCCGGGAGGCGAGAACGGCGAGCCGCCGCTGAAGCGGCACAAGCCGGCTGCGGGCGCGGCGGCGGCCGACCCTGCCGCCATCCAGCGGCAGCGGCAGGCGCTGCCCGTGTACCGGCTGCAGGCGCGGCTGACGAGCGAGATCAGCTCGCGGCCCACGCTCGTGCTGATCGGCGAGACCGGCAGCGGCAAGACCACCCAGGTGCCGCAGTTCTGCCACCAGGCCGGGCTCACCAAGACCGCCATGGTCGCCGTGACCCAGGTGAGGCTCGCGCCCTGCTAAGTGTGCTGCTCTTGAGGAGCACTCGTGCCGTTTTGGAGGTGCTGGGAAAAGTTCCATGTCGGGATGGCAAACAGATGAAATACTCAAGCGCTGAAAATCAAGCTCGGAAAGAAATGACAGCTTGTCCCTGAAGGTATGACTGAGCGTCAGAAATCTTAAGCCATAGTTACGTATTTTTCCTCAGTACATGTGCCCCCTTAAAGTGATGTACGGTTAGGAGCGCATCCGTTGACGTTAGCCCACCTAGCCCAACCAGCGAGCTGCTTCCGATCTCGTATCGCCGCCGTTCAAGCGGCGTGTCCGCTCGGTGACAGATGTCTCTGTGTGTCGGTAGCCGCGGCGGGTAGCTGCTATGAGCCTCGCCCAGCGCGTGGCCGATGAGATGGCCTGCACGGTCGGCCAGAAGGTCGGCTACGCGGTCCGCTTCGAGGACTGCACGTCCACGCAGACGAAGATCAAGTACATGACGGACGGCATGCTGCTGCGGGAGGCCATGTCGGGTCAGTAGCGGGACCAGAGCAGTGGTGTGAACGCTGTGTGTAGCAGCCCTCTCCGGCGCCTCACACCGCCGACACCGCGCAGTGGTGTCAGCTAGCTAGCCAGGGGCTTACTTGATCGGTCCCTCATTATGGCTACCAGATAACGCACTAGAGCCTCGCATTGCCGACGCTATACTGTGATTAACAGTATGTTGGTTAGCTCACCATGCTGTTTGTCACGGCACGACGACTAAGCTCTATAGCTCCCCTTGCCTGTCGGCTCGACGCATCTGCATCGCCGACAGGCATGACCAAGCGCCTGGCTATGCACTAAGTGTCAGCAGCGCGCGCTGGGTTGTATGCTGGGCTCACAGCCCCATCTGCCGAGCGCTCGGGCGACTGGCGTGCCCTGACGACTGGCGTGTCCTGACGACTGGCGTGTCCTGACGACTGGCGTGTCCTGACGACTGGCGTGCCCCGACGACTGGCGTGTCCTGACGTGTCCTGACGACTGGCGTGCCCTGACGACTAGCGTGCCCTGACGACTGGCGTGTCCTGACGACTGGCGTGTCCTGACGACTGGCGTGCCCTGACGACTGGCGTGTCCTGACGACTGGCGTGTCCTGACGACTGGCGTGTCCTGACGTGTCCTGACGACTGGCGTGTCCAGACGACTGGCGTGCCCTGACGACTGGCGTGTCCGGACGACTGGCGTGCCCTGACGACTGGCGTACTCTGACGACTGGCGTGTTCTGACGACTGGCGTGTCCAGACGACTGGCGTGTCCCTGACGACTGGGGTCTCTGACGACTGGCGTGTCTGACGACTGGCGTGTCTGACGACTGGCGTGTCCAACGACTGGCGTGCCCTGACGACTGGCGTGCCCTGGCGACTGGCGTGTCCTGACGACTGGCGTGTCCGGACGACTGGCGTGCCCTGACGACTGGCGTACTCTGACGACTGGCGTGTTCTGACGACTGGCGTGTCCAGACGACTGGCGTGTCCTGACGTGTCCTGACGACTGGCGTGTCCTGACGGCTGTTTGCCTGCCTGTCCGTCCGTGCGTCGCATGCCCGGATGAACGGACGATACCCGTCTCCGTGTCCGCGACTCTGGTCGGACCGCCATCTCAGTGCGCCGCCGTCCGTCCGCAGACCACCTGCTGCGCCGCTACTCGTGCGTCATACTGGACGAAGCGCACGAGCGCACCGTGCACACGGACGTGCTGTTCGGCATCGTGAAGAAGGTGCAGAAGATCCGCCGCGTCAAACAGCTGCCCGAGCTCAAGGTGAGGCCAGCTGGGAGTGCAGGCGTGTTTCGAGGGCGGAGACGCCCTGATGTGAGGAGATTCGCGGGGTTTCGTGCTGCTTTACGTCTCATTTCGTAGTTAAATATTAGTTACCATCGGTTTCCTCGGCCATATGCGTTTTAGACTCCAACTTCCCAATGCTCAAGTTCAATTCAAACAAGCTTCGAGTAAAGAATGTCTCAAAAATACGCGTGCACTTGCCGTATGCACGCAAGATTGTCACGCCTGCGCCGTGTCGTTGGCTGCGCCCATCTGACCTGCCCGCCCCGCCGGCGCAGATTATCGTCATGTCGGCTACGATGGACGTGGACCACTTCAGCCGCTACTTCAACAGCGCACCCGTCATCTACCTACAGGGGCGCCAGTTCCCCGTGCAGGTGAGCTGCTGGCGCCCATGGCCAGCTGGGCAATCGCGACCGGGCCGTGCAGCGTGATTGTGCCGGTGGGTATATGTCTGTTTCATAACAGGATTCCGTGGCCCTGTTCTCCCACGCGGTTAAGGGCCTGGTCGGCTCGTGTGGGATTGCATGCTGTGACAACTTCGGGGTACCGCCTGTCTTGCCTTTCGCCGTGTGAAGTGGACCAGCATTGGTACGCATTTTAACGGCTCCCGAGATGTGCTGCGCCCTAAATTCACCAAGATGAGTGGTGCCCCGAAGAACTGGTGCGCCAAGATACCCCCAGCCCAACTACGCATGTTCGTTTACGCCGGTATTTCCTTCGTTGTCACTTTTATTGTCAATAAGTGGGCTGTCATTACCATTTGTCCGCCAAGCCGCCGCCGTACTGGCGAGGTGGACTGAGTCCAGTCCCGTCGCCCGGCCAGGTGTACTACGCCAAGCAGAAGCAGGAGGACCCGGTGTTCGCGTCGCTGGTGTCGGTGGTGCAGCTGCACCAGACGGCGCCGCCCAACCAGGACGTGCTGGTCTTCCTCACCGGTCAGCAGGAGATCCAGGCCATGGTCAAGAACCTGCGCGACGTCAACAAGGTGCGGCCGACTGCTGCTCACTGAATGTGTGCATGGTGGGAGGCAGGAGGCGGGAGTGCTGGGATGCTCACGCTGGACCCATGTCATGGGATTGCTGGTGTAAAGAGCTTGGGCGCGAAAAGCGATGTAGGCTAAACAGTTATATCGCGATGTCGCAGACAGTTGTGAAGATTGGAAACCATCAAGCGCCTTGCTGTTTCGGTCCCCGTCTGTTGAGCTCGATAATGAGCGTTGCGACACGACCTGGGAGCGTATTTGATTTGCCACCGGCATTTCAGAGTGCGCCGATGGCATACAATAGCAGCCACGTTCATTTGTATAAGTGTTTGCTGTTGACCGCTGGCGGCATGTATTACCTATCTGTGGTAGCTCGCCGTGCGCAGGACCCGACGGCCCATTCCCCACGCCATCGCTGTACGGCACTCTGGTGGGCGCTGACCTGAGATCGACCCATTCCCCGGCGGGTGCTGACCTGAGGCTGACCCACTCCCCGGTGGGCGCTGACCTGAGGCTGACCCACCCCGGTGGGCACTGACCTGAGGCCGACCCGCTTCCCGGTGGGTGCTGACCTGAGGCTGACCCACTCCCCGGTGGGCGCTGACCTGAGGCCGACTCGCCCCCCGGTGGGCGCTGACCCGAGGCCGACCCACTCCCCGGTGAGCGCTGATCTGAGGCCGACCCACTCCCCGGTGGGCGCCGATCTGAGGCCGACCCACTCCCGGTGGGCGCCGATCTGAGGCCGACCCACTCCCCGGTGGGCGCCGATCTGAGGCCGACTCGCTCCCCGGTGGGCGCCGATCTGAGGCGGACCTGCTCTTCACAGGACCTGACTGGCTGCTGTCGGCTGCGCGTGCTGCCGCTGTACGCGAACCTGCCGGTGCAAGCAGATGGAGGTGTTCCAGCCGACGCCGCCCGGCCAGCGGAAGGTGATTGTCAGCACCAACGTGGCCGAGACCTCCGTCACCCTGCCCAACATCAAGTTCGTCGTCGACAGCGGCCTGGTGAAGGCCAGGTGAGGAGTCAGCAGGGACGTGGTGTCGTTGATGTACCTACAGCACGCTAACGACGCTAGATCTTCCAGCCGACTAAGCGGCTGTAGTGAAGCGAAAATCGATGAAAGTTAATGGAGTTGTAAAGTTGTCATCGTTGCCAGTGCTCGGCGATAGAGCGGAGTGTTCTCGAGGCATAACGAATCGGCGTCGCTGCCGTTCGTGCAGCTATATTCACGCAAAATTGTGGATGGGTCTGCAGGGAAGTCAGAATGAGATGCTGTCAGTCGATAGGATAAGGCGAGAGGGGGGCCGTTACATGACGACTTCGGTATTGATGTAATGCTCAAGGTGCCTTTGCCGACGTCGGGACTCTATACACGGTTCATCAGTTGGATAAAACAAAACTCGTTATGGGCGCCAAATGACCACTGGGGTCGGCG